TAGCTTTTACAGCAGCAAGGATCTGACCAACTGAGATGCCACGTGCATCCCCCCTTCTCCTCCTTCAGCAATCCAAGTCAGTGAGCAGCTCTTCACAACAGAGACACAGATGGGGAGCAGAAGGCAGCATCTCCCCCAGGACAGGCTCTTAATATTTAATGCGACATCAGAACAGCGCCAAGTGATCGGAGCTCATGCAGAGTTTTCTACAAGGGAAAGGCAGGCACAGCCAAGGATTGTGTGTTTTCCTTTCAAACCAAGACAAAAGCTGAAGAGGAAAGTGCTAATTTGTGTTTCTAAAGCCTGTACTCCAGCAACTCCCTCGTCTGTCTGCTCTTTACACAATATTGATGGTTTGCTCTTTGCAACCAGATCCGCAGCCAGTAAATGTAATGGACAGGGTTTGGTACTTAAATGCCTTAATTAGATATGAAAACAATTACAGAAGACTATTCTCTTCTAACATCCACAGGCTTCAGCACAGATAGAAAATGGGGCAAACCCATCCCATTATGTCTATTTAAGTTGTTCTGGAAGCTTGACAGATGAAAGGAGGACAGCCCAACTGGAACACTGCGCTGTAAAGTAATCATCTAAAGAGATACAAGAAGCCAGTGCAACTGTAGGACAATTATGAATCCTTTGTAATCGCTTATTATTATGGCAAAGTGAATCCCAAGGGAGCTGCCACTGCTGCGCTGCTGCTGCTCAGCCACAGGCTCGAGTTCTCCAGAGAAAACTTCCCATTCTGGCAGCATTTCCATAGTGGAGATGTCAGACGAAGCTTCCAGAGAAGGGCTGGGGAAGATGAGGGCTGGGTCAGGAGATGACAGAAAGTGGCTTGCACTGAAGTTCTGGGGGGACAGACACAAGAGAGAAGCTTGAGCCAACTCTGGTTCTGCCCATTAACTTTCCAGGTGAGTAGAAACACTGCAAAGGGCAGATGTAAAACACAAACAACAAGATAAAAAGCTTCATCAAGGAGTAACATGAACATGTGTCAACAGATAGCGTAGATACATGCTTAGTGGCACACAGACTGGAAAAAGGTAAGTGCATTTGGTGCCATGGCATGTCTCAGGTCCCTTTTTTGTTGCAGAGAACTCCACAAACAAGAAAACCCCTTCCCTCGCACTCCAAAGCATTCTCCAGCTACATCCAAGCTTTGGCCAACTTCATGTTCCTTCCAAGAGTATCCACAGAACGCAGTCCAGCAGCAGTTTCTAAAGCAGCCACATACGATACACACAAGTTTACAGTTTCAGTCTTTTGGTGCAGCTGGAGATGTGGACCTTTGGGGAGAATCATTTGACCTACAGTATATGGAAATGTGACCACCTACTGTATTTCCTTTCAGAGCATCCCAGTTCACACAGGTCATCAGGAAGTGTGCATCATGCCTCACAGTTGTTGGACTCATCTTGAAGCACGTCACCAGCCCTGAAGCAAACCAGCTGAATTCATTTACTCCATGCCCATCCTCTCGCAGCAGTGTACTGATGCATATCCAAGTAGAGCTTGACATTTATTAATAGCTTCAAATGTTGACGCCAGAGAATTTGGGGATTGCTGCTAGTGAAGTTGTCAGCTTCACTTCCTAAGCAATCTAGAAAGTGCTTTGCTGCCTGATCAGCAGTCCATGTTTTCACCAGCTTTCCTTAATTTACATAGAGAAACACATCTATTTCCATACAGAGCATGTCAAGAGTGTTTTTGAAGGCAACAAAATAAGTCTCAGACCAACAAAGCTATTCAGGTATAAATCCAATTTTAATTATCAAGCTAACGTCTAGCTCCTACATTCAATGCAAGGATCAAAACCTACAAGTTTAAGGGTAGAAGTTCATTCTGTCCCGAGATTCTGATCATTTTGGCAGCTGTCAAAAGGTGACTTCCAAAATCCACTCATTACAGAAGCTTTTTACTACCTGCGCTTCCAGGTGAACATCAGGGACTCTCTTTAATAGCCATCAACACCTTTCAAACCCAGTTCTTTGGCAACAGTTATACATAGCATTGTGCGTATATAAAGAGCTTATAATAAAACCTCTTTTACATTCTAATTGTCTTAACCTTCACAGAAGTATTAAAGTGCTCAATCAACTCTCAACTCCTTCCCTAGTTAGCCTACTTCCTGGAAACGCCTGCACTTAAGTCAGCAAAACCAGAAGCAAACAAGAAGAGAAAAGGTACTCGTATGAAATAAAATCCTCTGCAGGATCATTACAACCCCTTATTAGACAAGAGGCCTCGAGTCTCACATCTCCCTTCCACCCATATACTGAGACATGGGTCCAAATGTTCAAGAAATCTAAGCCAGCACAACTTCTTTTCCCAAGTTGTGCTGATTTCCCATCAGTTGATTCTTTGGCCCCTGACTTCTGTAGAAAGAAAACCCCGTGGAAACAGAGTCCCATTGGTGCTACAAAGAAAATATGAACACTGAAGTCATAGTGGTAAAGCAATAGCAACACAAGATACAAACAAGAGTTGTGATGGATATTTAATACCTCACCCCCAAGCTATCTGTATTTAAATTATCTCAGTTAGCAACATTTGACACTGTCTGAAATGGATGCTTTCAAAGAGGCTTTAAATGGGGACTTTTTTGGTCCTTCTAAGTGAGGGGATGGAGGGTACCTCTCAAAGCTATTTCCTCTGGCAAGAGCTGCATGCCAGTTTCACCCCACCATGCTCTGTGCTGGAGGAATTTTAACCCAGAGCCTCTGCTCTTCCTCAAAAAGGAGAAGAGCCACATTCCCTTGGACACATCCTCTTCTTCCTCCAGCCACAACATCCACAGTATGATTTAAACCATCCCACAGGGTGGCTCCTTCCTGCCAAGAGATGAGACACCAGAAACGCAGTGCCAGGACACGTGTGTTTAATAGCTTACTCAACCAGATGATGCTCAAACACTTTTGATTTTAGTTTTGGTTAAATCTTCTGACATCTGTGGGAAAAGCATGTCATTTAAGCATCATCAGGCCTTTGTACTCCCTGTCTTATAGCAGGTACTGAACTGTTTGCTGTCATCTACTCTTTTTCTGTTGACTGAGTATCAGACATCCTTTTACCACCTCCGCTTTCACGCTGCCCCAAAATCCTGTTTACTGACTGTCTGCCCCATGTTTCCACATGTAGACCTTCATAACAGCTATTACTGATCTCACCACATCAATGACTCAAAAGCCAGGAAATATTGATGAGGGTGGTCAGAATCCACACACAGATTTATCCATGCTGTCACATCACTTATCAGACATGGCATGAGTTACCCCTGCTGCCTCCAAGACTGACTGAATGTCAAACTTAGTGGTACCTGCTGATGTATTGGTGTGGTCATCCTGACCCCGAGACTTCTCAGCAGCCCCACAAGAGTTGGTGGGTGCAATGTGAACATCATGCTTTCAAGGTCATGCACTGCTGTTTTGCTTGCATGCGAGCTGAGTGCTCTCTCCTGCAATTGCTTGGGGATATATAAACCCTGGCCACATTCTTGGGAACACTTACTGGTCTCCTCCATCAAATATCAATACAGAGATGAAGGGTTTCATAAGGAACTAAAAATTCAGTTTTCCGTACATGTTTTAAAGCCCTAAGCAGCTACATTAAGATGAAATAACACCTGATATTTAGTGTAAATATACCAAATCTTCAGTGGCTTGAGTCTGGCTTAGTTTCAGCAGAGTCATCCCTCATTACAGAGTTGGTCTTCCTCATCATGCAGAGGAACACCCAATCAGTAGGGCATATGCTAATAAAATCTCTGCACCATTTACTGGGCAAGCAATTGGTAAGTAACTCTTCTCTGTGCTAATAATATATTTGCATTTCATTTGACATTGCTTTTCTTCCCTCATTTCTATTCTTTTGAAAGTTCATTATCTTCAGAGGTCCACATTTTTCCATAACACTTTACCTGTAATCTCTAGTGTGCAGCAAGGGGCAAGCACTGAACTAAAGGGCAGCCTGTTTCACAGTACTCCAAATAAGAAAACTGACCATAGTACAAGCAAATTTAAATAAACTGAAATATAAAAAGACAGCAGAAGTTAGATTCATCCAGAAATATAATATAACGTCTGGGAGTGGGGGAAACTGGAGATGAGCTACAGAACAGAAACAAATGAAATGACCAACAAATATTGACTAGGCAAAAGAGGAAAGCTTTCATTGCATGCTGTACATTAAAATTAAATGCAAAATTCACATGTTGGAGCATCACGACAGAATGAAGGCCTCAAGTCACGGGAAACAGAAAGCAAAGGAACACCTTGATTAAAGCAACACCTGAACAAAAACAGTAACTGAGAAGTGACCATAACACAAATGAGAAAAAGCAGCACTGAAGCAGAGAACAAGTATATGGTCAAGACATCACGGGTAACACTGCACAAAACACTTGATATTTGGGAAGAATCAGGCCTATTTGTATATCTATGCAAAATATATACACAAATCCATATGTATATATGTACACATAGGCACTACTGTACATATGTATATGCAATCATTAACACAACTGCCCTTTGACAAGCTTCAGCATCTGACTCTGGGTGCAAGCAAGAACATTGCAGTTGTGCAAAACTACACTTCTGTGTTTGATTACTAAGAAGTAATGGTAGAACCATCCAAAAGAATTCCCAAATAGCTTAGACCCAGATGTGGTTTCATCAACATCTCCATCTGAGCCCAGCTTTGGAACACTTCCAGCTCATTTGTAGGAATTACATGTTCATCCAAAGCTGCGGATTGTATCAGTACTAATTAAATCTGTCTCCAACCCTGCTAATCTGAAGAGATGGCCAGACATCTCTCCTAACATCAGTGGTTTAGCATGAGACTATCCCACCCAGAATACCAATTTGGGAATACTGGTTGCATGGGAAATTGAATTCCAAGGCCAGAACAGGACTGGCATTCTGTAAAAGAAAGGTCAGCTGCTGTCCTTTTAGACAAAAGGGACATGGTGCATAAAAAGAGAGATTCCCCCCACCCTCAAACAAGGGAACACATGACAACTCTGAGGACGCATGCTCCAACCATACAGACATGCTGATCTTTGGGGTTTCCACTTTGGGGATGTGGAAAGCAGCAGTTTCCATAAAGCTTGCTTGCCTCACAGCTCCAAGGAGCATCAGCCTCCCTAGTCCACGGCTGGGTTGGTCTGACACTTCAACGCTCAATTGATCTTTGATGTGTGTGGATTACCAATGCTGTATTAGAGCAGAAAGAAAGTGGTGAAAGAAAGAACTGAGATAGATTGTTCTATGCCTCGGCAAAGCCACCTCCCAACTCTGACAGAGCTGTCCTCGCTGCTCTGTGTGCAGAGGACCCCGTTTAGTGTTCTGCATCCATAGCATCCAAGTACTTGGCTTCAATGATCCTAGGGAGCAGGTTATACCTAAGATTGAACCAGAAAGACAGCGTTAGTGCTTGTTTATAGTCATGTAACATTTTCTCTGTCCCAAGACTCTCAGTAGAGTTTATCCATGGCCATGCATACAACAGATACACCCAACTGAAGGGGAAATGAAGTGTGGGAAAGTAAAACCAGGCAATCCTGCAGGCAAATACAGTATTTACAGGAATAACAGTGCAGAGGTCCTCCTGCAAGAAGCCTCCTCGTTTCAGTTGAAGAAGAAACAGAACATCCTCTTTCCCACAAGAGAAAAGTCACTTGCCTAGAGCATTCTGTCACCATGAAGTCTTCAAGGTGCCAAAAATGCACCATCACACACAACCCACTACTGTGCTCTCAGTTTGTGCTGAGAAGCCAGGTATAACTTCCCAGGTAGTAACTTTCCTCTGCCTCTAGTTTGCCAGTGGATTAATTACTTTGCCAAGAATCACTCTTTATTTCTAATTTCAACTTTCTTCACCACTTTCCCTATAGTGGGAATGTTGGCTCAAAGACCTGCATACAAGGGTATTTGTCTTGCACTTCCTCAGTTCTCCAAGAATGCCATGCACTCCTTTCAGCTCTCACCACAAAGGAGCTTTAATAAACAATACTGAAGCTTTAATCTTTAGAGAGGCACCAAGTATACCAGCAAGACTTGAGACCATAGCAAGAGGCTAAAAAGGACTGTGATATTCATCCCTCCAGCTGCTGGTAAGACTCCATCCCCACCCAGTGTCTGGATTCTCCAGTGGATCATAGAGACAGTGATTCCCTTACTTTAAGGGTTTGGGGTTGCTCTCATTAAGTCCTGCTGCAAGTTTAGTTTTGAAACTTCTTCTTGCTTAACAGGAAGCTATTCTTCAGCTGTTAAAATAAGGCACAAAGCACTAGAAAGCCTGGAAGAGCCTTTTCAATAGCTATGCAAGAGATCCTAAACAGCACTCACTACTGAAAAGTACCAGCGTCTGCTTAAAGAGACCTGTCATTGAGCCATGTGAGCCCAGATAAGCATCACAGAACTTAGAGAGAAGATTCTTCCTCTCTGAGCAACCAAATCCCAGCCATCCCAAAGTTTTGAATCAAAGCCAGGAACTGGTAATACCCAAAGAGATCACTTTCTCCCCTGCAATAATGAGAAGCCACTGAAATCCATTTACTTTCACATTAACACTACACCACTGGTGCCTCACCACTGACAACAGAAATCATGGGTCTAATGCTGTTGGACAGATGGAAACGTGGGTTTGAGACTGATAAGTAACATATCTGTTTATCTGGACAGGACACTGAGCCATGACTAACTCATCTGGGTTTGATTCTAGACTTTGACCCCTGGCTACTGTCCCATCTCCTCTTCCTTCCTTCACTTCTTAAGAAAATAAAGAGAGATTTAATTCCTTCTACTCTGTCTCATCTATTTAGAGTGCCAAATCTTTGTGAAAAAGTCACTGTTAACTCCAGAGCTGCATCATGGTGCTGCCTTCTCTGCTGGAGTCCACAGAAACTACATGAAGGCAAAAGAAATCAGAGAGAAAAGCCAAGGGCAAATCTCTATTGTGCCAGGCAGCGCCATCTTTCCCTTAGCAGCAGGGCTGATTATCCAGCTACTAGAGGAAGCTGCTCTGGAAAGAGAAATGAGTTAGCAGGAAAGCTTGTATAAGATGACAGTATCTTATTTACACAAAAGTAAAGAGATATTTGCATCACGAAATTATCTAGCTCTTACTACAAAATCCGTTTCTTTGACAGCACCCTCTTCACACTGATTTAGCTTATTACACTATGTCCAATGTGTTTGGCAAAGAGTGTCCCACGTTTGTTTCTGTACTGAGCTGCTCTGTGCAGAGACTTGCAATTCCCACAAGAGTCAATCACCCAGCACTGCACACAGCTGAAATCTTTACCAGCCACTTCAACAGCCATCCAAAGTGATGCCTGTGTGATGGGTGGGTGAGAGACTCTTATCATAGGAACAACACTTTCAGTGTTTTCCAAGATTGTTTATCTAAAGAAATCCAGGCCAAATAGCCCTAACTCGATCCTGTTGAAGGCCATGGTAGCTTTGACATTTGCTTTTGTTTTGGAAAGAGCTGGACTCATCTTTATCATCCAAGGAAAACATCACTATAGCTGCCTTTGCAGATTATCACATTGGTAGCCCTGAACTTTGAGATCAGACAGAAAAACCTCTGAGACTGCAAGTTCAAAGACAACCAGATACCACTAGATACCATCCTGGCCTAAAAATAATCAAGTGGACTGGAAACAGATCTGTTCCTTCCAAGATCTTATTATGGCTTCTCATTATAGCCAAAGGATGGAGAGCATGAATGATTTAACTGGAGAATGATGGGCAGCCACTGTTAATGAACATTAAGGAAGAAATCAGTTAAATTTCTCAATGATTCTCTCAAGACTGCAAGATATTGGCCAGTTTGACCTAACTGGTCATTGGCAACAGCATTCAGCAGTGCAGGAGGTCTGCAAGGTCACCACAGCTCTGGGTAAGAGATAAGGATTCCTCTTAGGAAAAGTTTCTAGCTCTGCTCTGAGCACAGGGCTTAGGAAATCAAATTACAAAGCAATTTGACAAAGAGAACATTATCAAATACCACCTAGGGGAAGGCTCAGCCTACAGCTTCTCAGGAACACGAGGCATCTCACAGACACTGCAAAGGGAGACTTATTTACCTCTCTGCTAGCTGGAAGAAGAGTCCCTGCCAGCACAGAGCCCTCTGCACAACACCCAACATCAGTGAAATCACAGGCTTTCTGCACTACTTCTCCTTAAGCTTGAGCAGCCGGTGAAGAAGAGGTCACCATCACCCACCTCTAGGATCTGGCTACTCAGGAAAGTGCCAGATGTACTTCTAGACCACTTAGACTTTCTACAGTCCAAGCCTGCAGCCAAAACCCGTGAGAGAGAGAAAAAAAAGGCAGCCAAGCTTTGTACCTGATTGGGATCATCCCTATCATGATGAGTGGGAAGATCATCTTCATGTAGGGCAACGGTGACATGCCAAAACCACAGAGGATGAGGAGCTGCAGGACCTGCAAGCCTGTGAAATAGTGGATCTTCCTCTGAGGCACTCTGCGGATGTAATGTGTCGGAGGATAAGCAGTCTGGGAAGAGAAGAATTACACATTAGAAAGGCAGAGACTTGGACTCATGACTGCAGAATGCTGCACAGGCTTTTGAACACAAGGGTTTTAAGGAAGCCATCAATTTATGCACACATGGAGAGCATCAACATCAACAGGTTCAACAGCAGAACACAGGATTTGTAGGGTTAAAGCAAGTGCCTTAAACCACAGCATTGGCAGCAACACACAGAAGATGACTGGGCACTAGAAACCCAGAGAAGAAAAAACACACCACACAGCTAAGATTGCCTTTGGGAGCATCTGGAGTGCAATAACATATCTTGATAAGTACAATAATAAGATTCCCCCGAGTAGGATTATCAGGGCTCTGCAGCAATAGGTGAAGTGCCTGTGGGCGTGTGCAGGGGGGTGATGGTAAGCAGATGCATTTGGGTGCTGTTACTGCTGGATGGTTTCTCCACCTGAAAGACACCTCCTCATTATTTTATAGCCTTCTGTCCTATGCTGAACAGAATCCAGCTCCATGCTTGCCCCTGGTGGTCCTGTTTCTTAGGAGAACCAGGAGAAGACCAGCAGATGAGGTTGGGGAGGTGCAGGAAGAGGCTGTACTCAAACTGCAGCGATTTTCTCAAGTCATATATTTATTTTTGAGAAAGAAGGTGAGGGGGAAGTGACATTAATAGGCTAAATATCACTCGTGGTTTCTTTTGACAGTTCCTTGCTCATGTCTGAGCACAGGCTTTGACTCACTGTCTATACATCAACGAAGAGTATGAGCGACCGTCTGCTGGCACCGATACAGACTCAATGGATTTCAGATTGTGCCATGACTCATTAAAAGGTTTCCAGAAAAGGGAGATCTCCGTATTTGAGAATAATTTTTAATTTTCCAGCTTGGAAAATTCCACATTATTTATAATAACACCAGAAGTCTCATTCTACATACATCAGTAACCACTCAATCCTCATTCAAAAATTGACATGACAAATGTAATCGTTACCCGGATTTTGCAGTTTTAACCTCTGAGATGTAATATTAGAGATCAAGATAGATTAGCAGAGATGCAGAGCCAAATGTTGGGCTTATTAAGCCCTTGACCCTTGTTACATAAAAGAAGGTGAGATGGAAACTCACAATTGCTCCCAGGTACCGCCTACACTGCAAACTGACACCTTCTTCGCACTTGTAACAGAGGGAGCTTGAAAACACATCTTCCAGATTTGTTTTCATCCCACATCAGAAGGGCTTCAATAATGGAAGTAATTTCATTTTGAGTTTAAAATCTTATCCTGTGGCATTTTGCACAACTCAAAATGAAAGTGGTAAAATACAGCAAAAAAACCACCTGTTCTGAAGTTTTGTTGGGGAAACCAAAGATCACCATTTGCTGGTGCTTTTTAATATTTGTTATTATTGGTTTTAAAATGCATGTGCTCTGCAGCTGACAGCATCACAGGAGGTTTTTAAAGCTTACAAATACCCTACATTCAGTGAGCAGCAGTTTGTGCAATTGTTCGTTTAAAAAGACATTGTCTGAATGTGGTTTTGGTTTGCAGACTACACCAGTGTGACCACAACAGGGTCTTCACTGGTCTTCACTAACTGTCATGTTCTGGAGATAGAAGCTTCACGGAGATAGAAGCTTCACAGCAATTCTTAGCAGACTGAGAAGGATTATATGTAATATAATGTCCCAGTTATAGGACAAGTAGGAATGGCTTTAAAGCTAAAAGAGGGTAGAGTGAGATAAGACCTTAGGCAGTTCTAACTTGTGAGGGTGCTGAGGCACTGGCACAGGGTGCCCAGAGAAGCTGTGGCTGCCCCATCCCTGGCAGTGTTCAAGGCCAGGTTGGACACAGGGGCTTGGAGCAACCTGCTCTAGTGGAAGGTGTCCCTGCCCATGGCAGGGGTTGGAACTGGATGAGTTTTAAGGTCCCTTCCAACACAAACCAGTCTGTTATTTGATGATTCTTTATCTGAGATATCACGCTGAACAAGAAAGCTCACATGCTCCTGGGGCAAGGAAATGCACAAAGCAATTAATTCAGAATTTGAAGGACAGATGAGATACAGTGCCATTCTCTGAATGATTCAGCTACCACCTCTTTTTAACCCAACAATAACCATGCCACTTTTCTTATTTGACACTGCATTATTCTCTCACTAATTTATCCCCTTTAATGGAAAAGGAATCCCTTGCTCATGTCTCACTGGCAGACCAGGTTAAACTGGAGACACCAAGTTTCATTCTCACTTTGCAGAGAAAGATGAGAGGGATATACAAAGTGCAAGTTGAAGCTGGAAATCAGCCTCTTGAGAACATGAGTTTTAGGGGTAGTCCCATTCCCAACCCCAGTACCTTTCCATGTTAGCTTCTGGCACAGTTTGGTGCTAAGGTGGTAAAATAAGGTTGTCAATAATGTTTCCTTTTCTGTTCCACCAGTCTGGTGCCCCAGTCTGTGTACCTGTTCTTTGAGCAGGAGTGCCACCCTTTCAAAGAGCTGGTTCCCATCAATAGAGGTCAACGCAATGTAGAGGAAGAGTCCATAGAGCACTGGCTTTGGGATCCACTGAAGAGGGAAAGGGAGAAGCAGAAGGGAGAGGCCAACCAAGAAGTTTGCCACTAGGCTTGTCAACCGGGTCTCCTTCACACTCACAATCCTGGAAGCAAGAGAACAGGGATTAGGGGTATGTAATAATATCCCAGTATCCATGTAATCTTATCGCTGGGGCTCACTGTGCATAGGTGCATGACACGTGCTGCTTGGGAAAGGGAAACTCATCTCCACTGCACTGAGATCAGCACTTCTGGCCTCGTGCTGACACAGAGAAGGCAGAGCTCTGTTGGATCCAGGCCAGGCACTTAATACGCAGCTCAAACACAGCTGGAAAAATGCCCAATTCCCCTTCTGCAAAGCTCCACGGACTCTATCCTTAACTAATTTGCCCTCTAAACTAATTCTGTTTGGCACATTGAAGAAAAAGAAACACCAACAAAACCAGAACCCAAAACCAAACTAAACCCCCCAACTACTTAAGAATCCTTTTTCTGGGCAGTAATCCTTTCCTCAATTTACCCAGTGCATATGCAATTGGCTCCTACCCAGAAGAAAACTCATTGACTTCTACAGGAACTAATGAACCTCTCGTAAAAAGAACTCTGCACTCTCTCGCCTGCGAGTCAGCATTTCTGATGTATATGAGCATCTCCTTGTTTATGTGGAAGGGAATGCTGAGAGCACTGTGGAGAGAGCTAGAAAGCTAATTCTGCTGTGGATAATAGCAGTTGCACTGCAAATTGCCTATTACCATGCAAAACATGTAATTAATTAATGTAAGTTTTCCATAGCTGAGAGCACAGATTGATTTTTTGGGGGGATGGAGGAGTGGGGGCGACTGACAGAAAAGCATGCAGCAAATTTCAGAGCCCACATGAGGGATGAAGGGCGGTTGCTCTGTTTTCTTTTCACTTCAGCTAAACCTGTGAGCATCTCCTCCTACTTTGAAACAAATTACCAGAAACAACAGGAGGAAAAAAAAACCCTCATCTTTTAAGAGTACTTGGAAATAAAGAAAAGGAGGATTCTTAACTTCTCCTGAGAAGATAAATCCACCCATTCAGTGGATAAGCAAGTGAGTAAATCCCCCTATTATCAGGAGAAATGGATGTCCGTAGGCTGTTTTGGTGTCATCTAGTGGCCTCACTCCCTGGATGCAAGACTTGATATTCCAAATAACCCGGTACCCAAAATACCCTGAAAATTAACACAAGAACAAGCCATGAGATCTATCAAAATATATTTCCTTCTATTATATATGTACTACTGGGACTTCATAATCCCTTCTGTTCTAAAGAAGATTGCTTCCCAGTGATTTCTTTCAATATTAACTTTTTGAGTCTTGCTTATAAAAGTAAGGTCAGGCTGAACTTCAGATCTGCATAATGAAGCTTCCAGAGCATAATGAAGCTGTGGGGATGAAGGAGCCTTCCACACCTACATTTAGAGAGAAAGGGAAGGGTAACAGCCTAAGGCTTGCTCTCAGGATTTGGGTAACATGGCAGAATTAATATGAGCTGAAGAGCAACAGATATCCCAAACAGTACACTAAGTCCTGAGGACAAGGCTTGAACTCATTGATGAGTAATAGAGGAGATCATACATATTATCTAGGGTTACTGAGAGAGGATGCACAGAAGAGCCACAGAAAGTGTTAACCTGTAAGTAACCTCTCCCCTTCCCTGACTAGGTGTAAACAGCAGAAACCACATCTTTCCTCCTTCAAAACTGATTTTGTTCAGATCCTCTTGCAAGTCACTTATGTCAAGGGGTCCCTGCCACTGCTTAAAGAAGCTGAGGGAGAGCAGAGCACTTCACTCTTATCTGCAGACTGCTCTTGCCAGCTCTGGAAGAACTGGGACATCACCTAGGTGGATACAGTTTGGCACCTTTTCCATTCTCTCCAGGTCTGGATCACCACAGAATAGAAGCCTCCTAGACAAACAGAGCCAGGCAGCTTAAAGTGCAACCGCAAGTGCTAACTCAGAACAATTTGATAGCCTGATAAGGAGTGGTCAGGCTACTTCAGAGCTACCAGAACCACTACAAGCTTCTCAAGTGGCCCACTAAAGCAGGAGTGAAAGGATGCATCAACTGATTTAGCTTCATCCAGGTACAGCAAGCTACAGAGGACGAATTTCTGCTACTGCAGGTGAAGATCTAACCTACTGCTGGGGATGCTCATGACCTGCAAGCATCAGTCTGAGCGTACACACATCTGCTAGATTCAAAGTCATGGAAGCTGAGGAGTTCAGCATAAGAATTAGAGATGAAGCCACCACATTTTGATCAGATGCAAGTCTGCAAGCACAGAACAGCTCAGAGTAGCAGCTCTTTGGTAATGGATTTTTGAAGTTCATGAAGTTTTCTACTGTGATCTCTTGAGGATGCAGCAATCATGGCACTAAAGAGTGTTTGAGCACATAGAAGATGTGCTGCAACCACAACTGCCAGTTCCTGCTGGTGCCACTTAAAGTAGTTCAAAATTTCTCATCAGAACATAGTTAAAATTACTCATAATTGACCAAACATGAGATTTTTAAAGCTGAAGTTCCAAGCCTCAAATTGGTCTTCTGCCAGTTCTAGCATGTTTCTTATTTCTAGGGTAAGGACATCAGAGTCACATTAAGTCAACAGAAGAAACTGTAATTTGCATGTGTTCAGAATCCGTTTTGGCCTTGAGGAAAGAGCTCCAGAAAGTCTGTGCTGCAATGGAAATGAAGTAATTAATGGAAATTAAAAGAGCATAATCCAGGCTCATTTCCCCAGAATCCTTTAAATCTGGCTAGCACAGGATTAGTCGTTCCTGACCTCCTCCATCTGAGCAGTGAGAGCCTATTTGCAGATTGCCACATGAAACTTGAGTGGTTGCTCTATAGGGGAGAAGAAAACTTTGCTTTCACTGAGGCAGGTTTTTATCCTTGTTTATATCATCATCCTCACTGAGAGCTTTGATTCGAGTGCAGGAAAGGAGCCTGCCAGGGGAGCCAGCACTGAAAGAACTCCTGGTTTTCTAATTGAGCTTCAGTATGTTTCTTTTTCAGCAGAGCTGACTAGGAGAAAACAAAACAAAAAGATGACAGCATTGCTCAGAGCCTCCTGTTTATAGTTCAGTGCTTTGCAGAGAACAGAAAAGCTTCAGTCTCAAAGGGAGTTCAAATAACTAGGAAATCCTTGTTCCCTTTTTCACTCCCAATATCCAGTTCACAGCACTCCTTTACCTAATGACTTGCCTCCAGCAGAGAAAGAACTGTACCGTGAGGGAACAGGTTTAGTGAGATTAGGGCATCCCTCTGCCCTTCTGGGGTAATCACTGGAGCTGTATCTGGGTTAGCATGGTCAAAGAGGGCTCTCTGATGTTAGTTTTGGGCAGCTGGGTGAAGGAGGGCAAGGACAGCGGGTAGACCTTAATTCAAGCAGGGGACTTGACTTTGTCAAGAAGCAGCCAGAATGCAGAATCAAGACAGTGGGTGGAAAACCAGGGAAATAACTACCAGGTATTAAAACTGACAATAGAAGAAACAGGAGGGAGGCTTAGCACAGGGATTTCAAAGTGTAAATTCTGCATTTCACAAAGAAATGGAGATCAAAGATATCTCAGAGCAGATCAGGAAAAAATTAGGAAGAAGCTCTTCCCTGTGAGGGTGCTGAGGCGCTGGCACAGGGTGCCCAGAGAAGCTGTGGCTGCCCCATCCCTGGCAGTGTTCAAGGCCAGGTTGGACACAGGGGCTTGGAGCAACCTGCTCTAGTGGAAGGTGTCCCTGCCCATGGCAGGGGTTGGAACTGGAGGAGCTTTACGGTCTCTTCAACCCAAACCACTCTGTTGATTCTATGATTAGGGACCTGAGGAACAAGAGCATGGATGAACACCCTACAGAACTCAAATTATGAAGTTGCTGGGGTTTTTAAAATAGGTTTAGCATTTATTCAAGACACATATAGCTGTGGGAACAACTATTATCAACACATAGTACTGGGAATACAAGCCCAAGGAACTAATCTCCCAGGAAAGGTCTGTAAAAGCATTGCAGGGAGCATCAGGACAGCAGCTTCCAGATGTGGAAGGTGAAATCTGTCCCTCACTGACCCAAAAAGCAGCTGTGGCAGATTGTGCTGAGCCAGCTGGCACTAAGAACAGCATGAAGGTGAGACTGGAATTAAAAGACTGACCCACTCCACCCCCCAAAGTAAATGACCGCTTAGCTTCACTTTTGGTAATTAGCAACTCTGAAAATGGAAACCAAGACAGGATAATTGGAACTAATGGTATGTGAGTGGAAATTACCACTTCTGAGGTAAAAGCACTCAACTGTAACATACCGAGATCAAACAGACCAAATAATCTCTGTTCTGGAGCAGGTTTCATGAGAAATTAGAGTTTTCATTTTGTTTTTTCTTTAAATAAGTCTCTGATAAGAGTGTGTTGGACAACTTAGAGGAGCCAAAAAGCTGGCCTTAAATAGAAACTCGTGACCTGGGCATGGCTTCACAATTAGTTTTGCTTAAAAGCAAGAGAATTTAATAAGCATCTCACATTCCCGAAACGCGGTGGAAGATGCTATGGGAGCTCTGAAACAATGCTGCATTTTTCCTACTCTTTGTAATAACCACCAGACAGGTTTCAGGCAATGAATCAGACTGGATTTTTTCTGGTGAAGACATCTGGAAAGATCTGGCTAAAGCATCTCGTCAGCTTTCCACAAGGATAAACCTGAAAAGGTCCTTGGCTGACTCTTCCAGAGGACAGTTTGCACTGGAGTGGGTGGAATCCCTGCCGGCTGAATAAAGAGCATAAATCTGTGTTTGTCCTAAAAACAAGCACTTTGGGGAAGGAGGATGGAGCCAGGTCACAAGTCATGCTGGCTGAGGTGGCTTCATTTGGCACATCTTCCCTCTACCTCCATATCTTACAGGCCTTCAAGATGACAGCTAACTCCTCAACCATGTATCCCACTATACCCAAAGGATTAGGGAAGCCACAAATAAAACCAAAGAGATCCAAGACAGCTCCACGGTTCCTACTTACGTCTCATAGATGTGTCCACTTTCAACCCTCTCCTCCACGTAAGCCAGGGCACGGACGTGCATTGGGGAGTGAGGGAAGGCAGCATGGATCCATGGAAGGCCGAAGACAGACAGCCCTGTGTTAATCAGCGCAACAAGCAGGAGGTCCCAGTGGTAAGCTGTTCCCTTCACCAACCTGAAACGAGGTTTATGTTGACAGCAGTTACACCCAGTGCAAGCTAAGAGGCTGCCCTTGCTGAACACCAAAGTGCACTTCCATGCACCGGGTGATTTCACACCTCCTGCCTTACAGTCTGTGCTACACGAACACAGAACATAATAAAACTTGATAGCTTGCTCCCAAAGCAGTCATCTCCTGGAAAGAACACCACTGAGAAGAAAAGTAACCCACTCAAACAGCCCATTACAATTTCATCAGCATTTTGCCCCCATGTTTACTGCAGTCCACTCAAAATACACATGTATACTTGCTAGCAGAGTCCATGTGGGAAAACTTGGGCATCAGTTGCCTAACTACTGACACTGAAGTTTCCCCATCTGTCTTGTTTTTAACTCTGATCTCCCTCCTTCCCCATGAGCAGAACATGTGCTGCAGTAATCCCCTGATTATGTAATGTTATTGTATGATAAGAAAATGGGGCATGAATTCATTAAACTTCAGCTCCTCCTCGGTAGTCAATCAAAAAGACATGCTCCTAGCTTTGGTGAACACTGAGGAACCTCTCTGCTTTGTTTCTTAGGGGACAGGGGAACTGACAGCCTTCATCAAGGAAGCTGATCACTTCACATTCACTTTGCAAGGACTACACAGAGAGCACCTACTAACACTGAAGTCACATCTAATTTAACCTTGCCTCTTTTTATAAGGTTTTCCCCCTTCCTGAATATCCCCATCTCGTACCAGCTGCTCAGATACTGAGAGTAAATTTTAGGAAAAGGCTGGGGGAGGATTCAGCTGTCAGACTTTGACATCTAACTTTAAAGTCTATAGCTGTTTTCCTGCCTGGCCATCAGACAGCAGTTGGCACCCTCACACAACACAAAGGATCAGCTCAATTGCTCTGCTGGCACCATCAGCTGGAAATGGACCACCATTTGCATGTCTTAATGTCACCAAGCAAGCTCTGTCCAATACCTAAGCAGAGACTTGGAGACATCGACGATGCTCTGAGACATGAGGCGCATGGAGCTAGTAGATGGGGCCCAGCACATGAAGATCTATGCCTAATTTCTACCTCAAAGAGTAGTATGTGCCATTGTTTGGACAGCAAAAGTCTTGGGTGGGGTTTGGTTTTGGAACAAAAGGAGTGCTCACCTCCCTTGACTGAAGACACCACAGGGTGACTAGGTCAGGTAGATGCCTACATTGCAATACCTCAAGCTGGAAGGTGCTGACAGGAAGGGTGGGATTGTAAACACACTTCCTGTGTTGGCTCACACTTTGAAAGCACAGCCCCTGCTCATGTGCTGCTTTCTCAGAGCAAAGGCATCTCCAGCATCGCCAGGGTCATCATTTGATTGTCCCATCTGCCCTTTTCAGTGGGCTTTCTACATACAAAGGCCTTACAGCAGCATCATTTTAGTCCCCTTAGGACACTGATTGGTTTCAGCAGTCTGGTAGCACCATGTGGCATACACCTGCTTCGACCAATGCATAAAGCTACACTGAGCTTATCCAGCTCAACACACAAAGATCAAGATGCCTTATCCTAGATTATCTATACACAGCCCAACCAGCCCAGTATTCCCTGGACTGTCCTATACCCTTGCTTTGATTGTTCTTAACAAAGCATATTAGTGTACTTTTAGGCAAGTTTCCCTGTTTTTAATACAGGAGGAAATCACTACCTTTGTCAAGACACCAAGCAGCACATTCTCCATTTTGCTGGTATAGATGATGGTATTTTTCTTATGTGATGGTACCACGAACAGAAGGTGTCAAATCCTGTTTTTTCCATCTCTAAAAACCCATGCCCTGATTTCTGCCTAGTCCTGTAACAAGGCATTATGAAGAACTAGGAAGAACGCTGAAGAATAGTTCACATTCCTTAAAGATGCTTTAGTGGAAAAATAAAACCCACAAAAGTTCAGAAGAAACTCCTATCAGGAAATAGATGACCCAGTTACATTACAGATTTATGCAACACTTTCAAACAGATATAATAGAGATGAGAGGAACAAAAATCAAGTGGTCACAGAAAACCAAATTAGTCTAACTGAATCTGAGCTTGTCTTCTCCCCACTCAGTGTCACTCTAGCTACAGCATGGAGAATATTAATGCAGGTTATGCAAGGAGAGAACCCTCCTACATGTTACATTAGCAAAAGAATCCTCTGAGACATGGTAGTTTCCCTGGAAAAGTCATACACGTTCATTCTTGATATCATGTCTGATTGCAGCTGGCACAGGAACATCAGAGGGAATATTTTAATAGCGCAACATCTTGACTCAAGTTTGCACATAAATCAGACCTATCAGACATTAGACATACTGTGCTATTTTCACCTTCTCAGCAGGAGACTAACAGCTCCAAACACCACTTCTTCTGATGCTCAGCTGCAGCATATCATGCTATGACATTTATGCAGGTCATTGACTTTCATGTTCAAAAAATTCCCTGTACTGCAAGGGTAGCATGAGTTTTAGACTCCTTAAATATCTGTAGACCTCAAACCATACAACATATCTACATAACATTCACACATGGGCAAAGAAAAAAAACATGCTGAGGTGATGAGCTCATTGATGCTTTGTGGTTTTGACTTATTGCCACAATTTTGGGTATTGGGAATGGCGAGGAATTAAGCAGTAGACAGTTATCTTCACCTGTGACAACAGAAGTTCTGAAGAACATGCCCTGATGTTCAGACAAGCTTTGGACAAGGAGTGCTGGGAAGAGACTCAAAGATATCCCTCCAAAGAGGAGTATAAAAGCATTACCTGTTCTCCGGTGCATTTGTGAGTGATGCCACGATGTTCTGCTCTATGAAGAAGAGCATCGACAGGAGGAACCCCAGCCCCATGGCACTCATCACTGACCCAATGGAGAGTGACTGGACTGGGGCCAGCACGAACAAACTCTCAGATGGGTTGTAGTTAAATTTGGACACTGGAAAGAGGAGAATGATATTAGGAGGCACTTTCTTATCCAACCATCCGCATGGACTCAACTAATGTTTTACACACCATGAACTATTGGGAACCAATGCAGCAAACAAGACATGATGCTCTGGCATGTGGGAGCCAGAAGGCCATAGAAGACAGGCTCATCTGGCTGTTTTAGTTTATTTTTTAACTCCATCCTCTTAGAACTTGGCTGCCATCCTGATTTGACAAATTACTGCTACTTCTAGTGAGGCATTACATATATTTGAGCAAAACAAAAGAGGGAAACTTGTTTTCCACAGATGCAAGGCATTTTTAAATTAGAAAACCTTATTTCTAACAACAGTGTAGTCCTCCTGCTCTGTTAATCAACTGAGAGAGGCGTTTCAAAACTTCCTCATATCCAACAAGCTGTGCAAGGCATTTGAGCATGAAATGCCCCTACTTTCCTGCCATTGGAAGAAATCCATGACTAGGGATAAATCACACATGGCCACACATCATTTTACAATCCAACTGGATGGAATGGCCATCACAGAAAAAAAAAAAAAAAAAAAACCATTTCTTATTTGTTTCCATACATTTCCTCACATTACCCACTCACGTCACCACAGGACAATGCAATTCCTGTCCCCATTATCGCTTCCTGATATGGAAAAGCTGATCTATTTGGCCAATGAATGGTGTCTCGTTTTTAGATTTCCTTGTGTTAACTTCAAACTGCGCAGATGCTCTGCACCATTTCACCTAAATTAGGAAAACGTAAACTGGAGACAAAGAGGACAGACTGGGATCATCAACTCTACGGCTGTATGATTGGCAACAACCCTTCCTGCCTGCTAATTATTCTTCCCTTTGTTCTTGGCCAGAAATTGTTGATCCTCTTTATTGTAAGAGATACGTACTTTAAATTACATTCACATGAAAAGGCACGCTGGAATAATTTGTCCAGAGAAAAAACTTCATCCAGCCTCATTTGATTAAGGGGTTTGGATTAATTAAATCTAATACTGAGGAAATCTGAGCTCTTTGGGCAGTGAGAGGTACCCGTGGTATTTGTGAAGTTGTATGCAGTTATATCTATGTGTTATTTCTTTGGTTTAGTAAAACCTTTCTAAGATTTATTCCTAGAATAATTCTAGATTAATTTCTCTTTTTCACCTATCCCATTATTCCAGAGAGTAAAAGTATAACTTACTTTCAATTTCCTTGAAGATATAGGAACCCACAGCAGAGAAAGTCAGAACTGAAATCGGTAAGGCACAGTCGGACAGAATTTCACGTACTCTGGCATGCAAATAAGGGCTGCAATTTAAAGACAAATAAAACCTTCCATCAACACCACACTGTAGGGACAATCGTTCAATCCAGATAGCATTAATGCTCTAACAAGTGAAAACTGAGTCCAATCTTGCAATTCTAAAGAGATACTTGGAGTGAAAAATTAGTCTTTAAATCAGCCTTAAATCCTCTGGAATCTACAGCCTTTGAAGGTTGATGAATGCATAAGCAAAACCCGTAATAGAACAAGAAACTAAGATGCCAGCTAGAAAATAAGTCCTCCAAACACCAGTTTGTGTCTCATTTCCACTTGAGTTTAATTGCTTACTCAAGCATTTCAAATGAAGAGTTTTAAAGGCAATGGGAGTACATCCCAAACTACAGCCAGGCATTTGACACCCAAGAGCACACTGAAGGTACGTTTCCAGTAGACCTTCCAGCACCATCAGTGATTTTTGCCCACCAAAACGATTCAATGCCTATCTGGGGAGAGTTACAGGGGTTCCAACATGAAATACATGGTTCACCCAAAGCTTTCTAACAAGTCACTTGAGACGCCAAACCAAATACGGAAGGACATCGTCCAGCGACCGAACATTTTGTTCTGCTGCTCACATTTTCCAGGTGGCCAGCCAAGTTCATCTCTGGCTTTGGCTTCCACCACCACTAATGGAAGAGTTCCACCTGATTTTTCTGTGTTACAAAGTTAAGATCTAAACCATTAGCGATTCCTCATAGGTAACAGGAGATAACCAGTAGTCTGAGCTCCAAGACTGTAGTAACTCACCTTTTCTTAAACTGATAGAGCGTATGACCAAGCCAAAGGGTACCCAACATCAACATGAGACTAAGGACGGCAGTTTCACGTCCATAATGCACATCATGCGTGCCTGTTTGATTCTCTAGGGACATGGATCTGCTCACTGATGAATTCATCAAGAAGGTGGTATTGATGCCGAGGCTTGGAATAGCATCAGTTGGTGCTTTTTCCAAGTAACTTTCTCCTGTGCGCCCACTGTAGTAATATTTCTTAAAAACTGCACAAACAACCAACAGGCAAAGCATTAGGATAGGTTTGTGACAATCAAAGCAAGTAAAATAAAGTGGTTCTTCCTTGCTTGATCATGCAGGATTAATGTTATGCTTCACCAAGTTTATAGCTCTACCCTCAAACCAGTGAAAAGAAACCGTGAGTGCTGCTTCTCATATTTTTCACTTATTTTAACAGGTTAAACTGATCTAAAGCAACACGTTTGAACTATAAGGATTTTCAGTGCTAATTATCAATGTGATGATGTTCCTAGCACTGGAATCACTGCTCTTGTATAGATTTAACATTTACTTTCAGCAGCCTGGTAAACAAATTCCATCAGCATCTCTGTAAAAATTAAGAGCAGTCAGGCTGCACAGATACTTCAATGGACCTCAAAATGTACAGTAATTACTTGTTCTCCAAGGCTGGTCCAGATTTTAAAGGTAAGTGTTGATGATATGCAAAACCTGGTAGAACATTTAAATTTACACTGCAAATGGAAATAGAGAGTACCTAAAGTAGACCTCTACAAGCAAAACACCCAGTAACGCCTTTGGAACTATCCATAAATGTATTAGATTAGCTTGGAAGCATTTATATAAGTAATTAACAGTGGAAAATAGGCTCTTGCTTTTCAGTATTTAGATAGCTGTGCTCCCATTTCTATGATATTAGCTAGCTCCAAACATATACATGTGGTTTTGGGGTGATTTCACCTCTTTGGGGAGCAAAGGCTTCCAGTGCTGCAAGGAGCAAGTAGAAGCAGAATATGGGAGTTGGGCTTTGCATCCTTGGTGCTCCTGTGATCAGGTGACAGCACATGCTGTTCTCCATGTCAATGGGAAGACACAGAATGATGGAAACCACCACATCAGAGCTTTGCAGTCTCTCTACCTTTCTTCTCTTTAGCCAAAATACCCCTTAAACTTTGCATAGAGAAACTCAAACCTCTTGAGCTAAAAACACAACAATCTGAAGCTTAGGCTACAATACTCCTCATAACAATTCCCCCCAGCCCCAAATAACAATCAATTTTCTCATTATGCAGCAGCTACAAGGAAAGCAGGCAAACCAAACTGGAATTCTAAATAGTTGAAACAAGCAAAACTTTAAACATTCTTGCAAAGCACAATTGGTTCTTGCAACCACCTTGATTTTGGCTGAAGCATGGTTTACTGCTGGTTTGGAGCTCACCCTGGTGTAAAATGCCCCATGTTTAGCCATGCTGTGATTTTAACAGTGGTAATAATCATTTTCTACCACCTTTATGCTTTAAAAGGAGTCCAGGCATTCGACAAGTGGATTGGGTCAATAGGGCATATAGGTCATGAGAAAAACCCTGGTTGTTTCACATTCAATACTTCTGTATATGGATTTATAAATCATAGAAGGTTTACAGTTCAAGATTTAACCTTTACATTTACTCGCAGCAGCAGAAATGAAGAGATCATTGCACTGTTAAAGCATGATAAAGGTTCCCCCAGCAAGGAGCAATTACAACCTCAGTGAGCACTGAGCATTCCTTCATCGTGTGCTGCGGAAGATGTTTTGCTCTCATTTCCTCCCTCCATCCTCACAGCTGCATCCAGCCCAGCAGGACACCCACACCTGCTTCGCAATGAGGTAAACTGAGGCACAGAGCACTGCTGTGACCCACGTACCAGCACAGAACAGCTTGTTGGAGGATTTGTGGTTTCCGGCTCTAAACATGAAAGGACACTTTTGTCGTAACAGAAGTGATTATGGCTGTATTTCCTGGGGATTTGCAGCTGGACAGGCCTAACTGCCTGTTCACCATCTCAGCTGACCTTAAGTGTTACTAAGCCCTAAAGACATACACTGTCACTGAGCATGTGATAAACCAACAGCACGCACAAGCCAGCAAATGTGCAGACTGTATTTGCATGCCTCCGTATTTAGATTTGAACTGGAATGAGTAAGAAACAAGTTACTTTGTTCTGGATGTTGTGGATTTACTCAATTCCCAACACGTAGAATCAACTAGGCTGGAAAAGACCTTTAAGATCACTTGGCTATAATGCAACAATGCATTTAGGGCTGAAGACATCTTTGGTACCCTGCCTTTAGTCTGACTACATGCTCCCTCTCAGGCTGCAATTCAATTTGCACCCACCTCAAAACCAGATATGATTGCTTCACTCAATCCTGGATATGAGGGAAGAAGCTTTGACTTTACTCTTGTATTTTAGTTAAAGCATCAAGAACATGCCAACATGGCTAGTGGAGGCCTTCATCCTGCACTACAGACTTGTTATAAAGTGATTCCTGCAGATTTATAGCTTGTTTTTATAACAGACATAAATGAATCTGGTTGCCCACACTGAGAGAGCAGCAGAGCAGGTGGTTCCCTCGCTGAAACAGAGCCATGCTCAAGCCTAGCGTGTGCTCAAGTTCCCTCCAACAACATTAACTCACTTTGTTTGCTTCAGCCAGTTCACCATCATTTCCTGCAGAGTGCAGATGTCAAGATCAAACAAACACAGCTCTGGTGGCTGGGCCACATGGCAAAAACAAAGTGTCACTGTGAATGCACATGGCTTGATTCCTCTATAGTATCATATCCCTCCCCCCTTCTTTCCTGCATGAGTATCTTGCAAATAAAAAAATGAGGCTATGAACAGACTGAGAAAAACATATCTGGACAAGTGAAAGGCACTAAGGAAGCCCAAAGTTGCTAGCCATAGCCAGAACACACTGAGCAGCATGGAGAAGGTACCAGCTTTCTCTTTCTGCTTAACTGCTCAACTGTAGCTCTGAGTGGGAGAAGGAGGAGGCAGCAGCAGCCATCACCTCCTGCTACAAAACAGGAGTGAAAGATGACCGATGAGCATGCAGTCATGGTCTGCACTGTTATGTGTTTGAATATGAGCACTGAGAGGGTTAAGGATAGTCTGTTCCTGGCAGCATCAGTACCCTTCATCTGGGAACACAGCTGGATCTGGGGTCTCATCTGTTGGTGTACTGATAATCCCAGATGCAGCTGAAGCCAGCATGAGCTGGCAAATGGCTGGAGTGTTGGTTAGATCTCATTACCATTGTTCCTACAAATTCAGCCCTTCCCAAGTACAAGGGAGAATGGCACTAATTCACTAATTACACTAATTAACCTCCAGAATCCTCTCCTGTCCCTACTGCAATATTCTTGCATTGAGCAAATACTCACGTGTTACTTGCATGTTCCTGGAAATCTGGCAGCTGAGATCAATGGATGCTTTCTGTACCTTTAACCTGCATTCTATGCCCCTGCTATGGGAAATCAGCTCTCTCCTGCAGAAGCACTGTGAGCATTTGCAGTTGCTCATTTTTACAGAGCAGCTGAATGTTCTGTGGAGGAACACCTAAATGCCACAGGGACACTGTCCCATACCTCCAGAACAGGGCACTAACAGTACACATTAAGCAAAGTTCACAGCTATATAGTGAGCAAGGAAAAAGCAAAGTATCTCCTTCACCAAGCTTTGTCTAAAGAAAGCGTAGCTGAAAGATGCAGGTGTTCTGCAGAGTTAAAACCCCTCTGATTGCACAATCAAAGCACATATAAGCCAAATTAAGGATTCCCAGTGAAGTGAGGAAGTATCTCAACAAATTCCTTTGCAGTGTCAAACCTCTTTGAAGGTGCTCTCATTGCATGCAAGACACCATAATGAGACAAGCCTGAGTATCTGGAAAACAGGAGATGTGCTCCATGTTTAGGTAAGCCCAAGCCTGGCTAACCTTAGGTCACAAGAAATAAGGAATGTAGACTTTGACAACTTCTCACTGGGATGAACAGAAAGATTGCCAACCACATGGCATTTCTGTTAGCATCTTTCACCTTCACAAATACATCCTTCCAATCCTGATGGGAAGAGAGGTACCAGAGAAACTTGTTAAACCTCAAGACTGCTCACCTAGAACTTAACTAATAAGGACCAAGTGACTGGAAGGGTAGAAAAGCTTTAGGAGCATGCTGGAAGGCACTGAAGTCCTCATGCTGCCATCAAAGAAAGGTCTCAGAGCTCATGTAAGAACAGGTAATCTCAACCCGTGTAGTTTCAATAATGTGGTGAGGAAAAAGGTCTAGATGCCCTGCATTTAAAGTGGACTTTTTTTTTTGCCAGGACCAAAGAGACTGGTATCAGAAGACTTTCACAGTAACATTACTATGGTTTCTCCATTCAGTAAGACACTAAACTTATCTCAGCTAACTGAAATTAGAGCCGATAGAAATTCTGAGCATCCAGGTAAACTGCTGACAAAGAGCTGCTACAATCTCACACTGATTTAGTTTTCCCCTGAAGACCCTGAATGAACATGGAACAAGCAAACATCATGCATATTTACAGCCTTGCATTTCTCTTTGACAAGGAAGCAAAGCAGAGATCTGCATTGAAAAACATTGTTGGAAAACTTACCTTTAATGATGCCTTTGAAGGCATCAAGCACAAATGTGATGGATATAAAAAGTGCAATTATTTCTTCTGTTGACCTGTGGAAAAAATCCCAGGCATTAATATAGCCATTAGCAGAGTCTGCATTCAACTCCATTCAAGGGAAAATCAGCATATTCCTGCATTTACATGAAATTGTACCAATTTTAGTTAAACTCCAACTCAGGAAACAAAACCCAGTGAATCTTTTAAGAGCTTCTTTCAAGCTGGAACAATAAGCTGAAATGATACTAGCCCCATCTCGCAAAATACATTTTGCAGCAAGTTTGTAATTAAGGAGCTTGTGGAATGTATAATTTTTCCATTTGCTGAATAATCTGATCAAAATATGACTTCTTGAAAATAGCTACCTTTTAAAGAGTTTCATCAGGAGACTGAAATTAAAGAGGGAGTACATCACAAGGAAAAAGCTGTTCCACAGTCCAATCCAGGCATAGAAAGCACTGAAATCCAAGTTGTAGTCATCACAGATTCCTCGGATGACTGCAAAAGTGAAGCATTCACATGTCAGATTAAACTTTTGTCATTACCACCCTGTGATCACCATCTGCTTGATGGCAAAAAGAACCAACTTCAAGACTTTACGCTAATGGACTTGCGGCAGATACCATTAAAGGTCTGTTCTTACACACCCAAGTGAACAGTGGATCAACCCAAACTGTTTTCCTCTTCCCCACCCCTTTCCTCCACTAGAAATGGGAAGAAGCACTTGGAAAACTATTCTCTGCTCAAATCATCTTTCCTAGGGATTAAGGCCACAAAATCAGGCCTTGGAATTCGCTCTCACTGACATTTCAGGATGCTGTTGATCAAGGTATCTCATACGTGCTTTTGCACCCTGTGTACTCAGCCACTGCGCTGTGGACAAACCCTCATGTCTTAAACCTTTCAAACTAATCATAGCCCGTCTGATTGTTCCTATAGACAATGGGTCTGCTCTGTTACACCTCTGGCTCAGTAATATCAGCTTACAACCATAACTGGAAAGCTATTGACTGCACCATAACAGATCAATTAACCCCCCTCCCAAAATAACCCACCACCTGCCATAAGAAAAACCAAACCAAACAACAAAAAACTCTTTGTCTCAGGCTCTTATCCTCAAGTTTGTTAAATGCAGCCACATAAGAAAGCCATTAGATGAAACAGATTTCCTCCCTTAAGCATTTCTTTTCATTGCTTCATCTCTCAAGGTGTTTTTTTCCACACAAAATGATTCCTTTAGAAACCAACTTTAACTAAACCTGAATCCAATTCCTCCCCTTTCCCTCAGCACCAGAAGCATCCTTTTAACATTGATTTAGTAAACAAAATGCAACTAAAGCTCTAATAGGATTTTAAAGTTCTTGCACAAAGTCCCATTCCACCAATCCCAATCCCATCAGTCCCCTGATGTACATGTTTAATAGACTTACCATTGATGTAGAGTGCTAAAGGAGCTGTAGTTAGGAGTACAACTAGAGGCTGCCCTGAAAAGAGTGCATAAAGCAGCCCCCCAATACACTGGCCAACGATTGTCTTCTGAACATCTACAAGAAATTAGGAAGGAAGGAAACAAACAGGATTTTAAACCAACACTTCCTTGACCAAGGAGCATTCATGAGGCATAGAAGTCAACTGCTAATGAGCGAGAGCAATGTTCAGAGAGTACAGAGGTAAGATTGTGAAAGCAAGAAATGATCCTTTGCCAACAAAATTGGAACAGTAATTTAGGAGGCCATCAGGTTTCCAGATGTTGAGCTGTGAAAGTTGGGGTTTTTATTTGATTTGGGGGTTTGGTTTCTTTTTTCCCCTCCTTTGTTTTGGTTTTGTTTTGTTTTTTTTTTAACACCTATTTTAAACAGCTATAAAAACATAACCAGTGTTTGTGGAGGCCTTCAGGACAAGATTTAAACTAAGACTCCACTGAACTCTTAACAGCAGTATGAACTGCTTCAGGGCCACAACTGGGATAGAGCATTATTTGCTATACCAGTGGTTTGGATACTGACAATCAAACTCAGATCAAAAGCAGAGGAGCTTGTACTAGGAAAAGTGTGCAGATTACATAGTTATAAAGAGAACATCACTTAAAAACACAGTAGCATGTATCTAAATCCAAGTCAGATGATACTATCCAAAGTAGTGTTTAATTTTTCTAGTCTTATGAGAAATAGTCATGAGCAGAACAATTAGAAAACCTTCAGCTGTGGGGTTTTCTTCAGTAAATAAAAACTATCACAAGTTTTTATGACCAGAGCTACCCAGTTTGAATACATGGAATCCTGTAACAGATACACAAAACTGATCAACTTACCAATAACTCCTCGAGTATTTTCATCATTGAGTGACCCAAAAGCAATGGATGGAAGGAGGCAGGCAAAATACAGAAAGATCATAGTTGTGATGTATTTCCCTATAGCTTTGTTGTTTCCAATAATACCTAGTGAAAACCATAACAAAAGTCATGTTAGCACTACCCATTTGTAAAGCATTCAAACCCTACTCAAATCAGCCATAGGTACTGTAAGTTCTTTTCATGTTGAAAGGCAGATATAGAAGTTCAGTCTATGCATTAGTCTTGAACATATAGGTAGGTCTTTACCGTTTGATTTTGTACAACTACGATCTTCTGTTCATCTGGGACTAGAAGCAGAAGCACCAACATGCCACCAGTTTGCTTTGACAGACATTTCTGGCACCATCAAAACAGGAAACACTGGAAACATTTCATTCAGTTTTGCCAGCCCCAAAAGCTTGGAAGAGGATCAAAGCAGAAACCATAAGTTCAGGTTTTATAAAACCCCCATCCCTACCTTTTAAATACCAATTTTATAGGTATTCTGGTCTATGCCCCTAATGAATTTCATGATGATCACTCATCGTCACGACATGAAGCACTTCATTTTTCCCTAGGCAGAAATCTGAGGTTATAGGCTTGAATCAATAATATGCTATGCCATGAGCCAATTAGTGCGAGCAGACTTACACAAATAGCACACGAGGTCAGGAATGTCTGTGTTAAGAGTTTTGCCTTAAAAGAGCCTTTCTAAAAGAATGGCTTCTTTTCTTTCTTTTCGATCCACTCGCCCCCTCTCATCTCCATCGGAAAAAACACACCAGGCCAAAACAAAAGCAGACAGAAAGAGAATTAAAGTGTCATAATATGAATTTAAGGGCCTCTGAAGTAGCTTCCCTTCCCTTTCCTGTTTTCAGGCTGATGTGCATCCCCCAGTGAGCTCATATCACACAAGAGAAAGGATGAGAGATGGCTGCAGCTGATATTGCTTGAGGAGAACAGCTTTTCCACAGAACAGCCTCTTCAGAGAGGACACACAAGGGAGAGCCTTTTCAAAGAAAACCTGGAAGCAGCCTTCAACCTGCCTGTGCCACCATCCTTGATGGCGTTCCTACTGTGAGACACTTGGACAAGATTGGAGTTGCCCAATTCCCCTTTCTGGAAGCCTTTTTAGCAGTTAACTCTCACACAGGCATCTGCCTCTAAGTTGAAAAAGTCCATCTAAGCTTCTGCAAGCATCAGTCCCTTGCCAAGGGAGCTAGAAGCTGATGAGTTGAATCAGAGGAGGGAGGGCTTTGCATTAGAGGCTGTTGGTGCAGCACAGAGAATCTGGACATTGTCACAACAAACTAATTGTATCACTGGAATGAAATTTCAGTCAGTGACTTCGGGATCTTATCTAACATCTGCTTTCTGCACCATTTGCTGTGCAGAGATAAGGAGAGGAGGAGGATGCAGAAACCAAAAATCAAAGCTGACGTGTAATGAAAAGGCAGCCACATTAATAAAGGGACACCTTGGGATGGTTCCTGTTCTCAGACATGAGCGGAACAGACAAAACCAGGACTTCTGATGCTCAGCAACCTCAAAATAAAGGGCAGGGGCTAAAACTTGACAAGAGACATCTCAAGCATGCAAATATGAGCCTGACCTTCCAGGAGTCATAGGACCAGCTGTTTCAAGGCGGATTCCTTTCAGTTTACTGTGAAGATTCAGAAACCACAGACCACATTCCTGACCACTCTTGGCAAACAAAGGGCCTGAAATCTACTTCTTGCAGATGAAGCTCTCTCATGTGATCTTGAGTCCAAGAGCTGTAGGCTCCTACTTCACACTCCCAAGTGCCTAAGACCTCAAGAGAAAAGGAAAGACTTGGCAGGACAAGCAGTGGACTGAGTGGCAGTTTTATAGGTAGAAATGGTCATATCCTTGTTCAGAGGACTCTGTGCCACTCCAGAATACCACCTTCTGGACAAAGGAGACTTTTCAACATGAAAGTTCAGAGGCAACAATTACTGAAAGCTTTGAAATCATTCATAAGATGACAGGCAACCAGGGCCAGAGAAGCAACTAATACTAAGAAAAGAAAAGCTCATTTGCTGAGCAGAGAAAGGTACATAAATGATGAGGTGCTTTCTAAAAACACCTTTCAGGTAGATAAACCTTAGCATGAGAGGGCAGAAGGAAGGAAGAAGGCTTGAAGAACGTCACAAAAGCTGATACACAACTTTTAGTTTCAGGTTCTACCCTTGCAAAGCAAGCAGCAGGAATCCTTGCTGATCATGGGGGTCCTTCTGCCACACCGTGGCTGGGTACAAGACTTCCAATACATAGCAGTATTTTTGTTAGTCCATAATCAGTCAAATGACATCCAAGGAGCAAAAAATCCCTCCTGGTGGCAGCAAAATTCACTTCATAATGGAGACAATAATTGAACATCCTCTTTCACAAACATGCTTAATCACTCTTTAATGGCAGTTAAAATCATGAGCAAGTACTGCCTCATTGTACATATTCACCTGAAACAAGCACTACGAATGCACTATTAACCACGATTTACCTTTTGCCTTTTTAAAATCAACGTCTGGCTGAACACATTCAGGGTCTATTTGCAAGCTGGGGACTGACATGCCTTCATTGAAAAGGTGGGCTGCATTAGGATGGCATTTCATCTGCAGCAGGCTCATAAAGCCATTGAACAACGTGTCACTCCAACTGCGCAATCTGAATGTGTAACAGAAAAATAAGCTCTGGGTCCAGCTGTGAAATTGGAGTAGCTGACTATTACAGAAGCAATCCCTTGAAATTAAGGTACATCTACACATTGAAATGGGAAGCAATTATGTTCATCAACGTGACAGTTCTATTTCACTTGCTTCCATTTCTGAAACGTCAGAGTTTTTAAAAGACAAGGTTAGAGTTACAGAGAAAACTGAAGCATTGTTGGCCTCACTTTGCTTCATCAATAAGTTAATGGCCAAGAGACCCAGAGATTGGGACTAAAACTCCTAAAGTCTACTAATTGTACATTTACTGAATCAAAATTGAGACAGATGGCCATTCTATGGGATGTCTATTAACATTCCTTCCCAGTTCTCTGAAATACCCATTGCAAAGCAAGTTTAATTACACTGATCTGCAGCACAGCAGTGGGATGTGCCTATTAAAGCCCTGATTTAAAAACATCACCTTTCAGTGCTAAAAACACACAGGAAGGATATCTGCTCACACGTTTTGAGCATTAAAACTCAGAGCATTACGAACTTCTGCTTAATGCCCTCAAGCTGGGCTTTAACTCGTGTTAATAGCTGCTAGATTCTGCCCAGTTTTCTGAAGATGAACAAAAGATGAATTTCCCCTGATTTCCCCTGAAGTCCTGCGAAGAGTAAATCACAGTACAATTGAGACTAAGAACTAGAAAAGGAACTCCAGTCTTACTGATTTTGGAGCAGAGAAGCCAAGCATGTGCTCAGACTAGAGAGGTATGAAGAAACAAATCAAGGGCTCAGAGCTTTCCTTTCTTCTCTTGTTTCTTTCAGCCCATTTGTCATGAAGTGTTAGTCTCTTGGAAGGAAAAATCCGCAGACAAAACAAGATGTTTTCATGTATCTTTAATGTGTTCCCATTCACCACGAACAAAGAAAAAGACTTCAAAAGCAACCCAGGTCATGATGCCCCAGAGCAACCAACGCGTCTGTCTTCAATTGGCCACTGAACTGTTACACCCAGGTGATATTTTGGAATGAAGGGCTGCAAAGGGATGCAGGAGCTGCCCTATCATCTAACCAAGGGCAGCTGAGGCACTGAAGGGAAAAAGCCTATATACAATCCCTTTGTTCTTCCTCCTCCTCCAAGAACACAATCCAGCCAAACAAAGAGGTCAGTGAGGTGGGAGAGTCAGTGAAGATTTGGCACATGCCACAGTCAATCCACAGTCAACATTTTAGCAGGTTTAAGCTCTGTTATCCTAGACAATCAGCAAAACAAAACTTCCCTTTCACATCCCAGTTTTCCAGTGCCTTCAAGCCTTCCTTCTAAGCCTGCCCACATTAGAGGGAGCTCTGGAGATCTCCCTGCTGCAAACCACCACCGCCAAATCCCAAGGATGCTGCCAGCAGATGCCTTATTCGCAAGAACCAGTCAGGGACCCTCTGCAGGACCAAGGACAGGGAGGAATCCACATCTCCAGCTGAACTATCCACCACCACATCTGTATGTGCCAAGGACACAGGTCCAGTTAAACAGAGGGAAACAGAATAAATCTCAGCTCTCTCCTCTCTTCCCTTCACCCTCCCTCCCCGAGAGGGGAAGGGATACAGCAGAACACAGCATCAAGGCTCACCATAAGAATCTCGGGCACCTCAGATTTCCCCTCTGGCACTCCAAGCACTCCATTCATAAGTGTTTATTCCTCCATGTTGTACCAGGATATACACACTGAAGAATAAGGGTAGTAGCTTTAAGGGGGTTTGGGAAACTCGGAGCCGAGTCCAGGCAGAATTCCTTCCTCCACCCAAACCAGCCTCAATATTAAAAAATTCAGGAAGCTCCTACAGTTTGACCAAGTCTTAAAGAGTACTAATATTGATGCACACACTTGAACCTATTTGACAAGATCAGAATGAAGTTCTGTACAAGCTTTAAGGCAGAATCCCATAAAGAAAGGTTGTAGTCATTAAGAGGAGACTACATGCCAAATGGTGTGAATCCTAACTTAAAAGGAATATTACAGGTGTTCTTAGGCTCAGCATAGTCCATTTGTTCATCTTCAAATGCTCCTGTTGGAAGACACCTATTACAAGCCATACCTATCACTAAAAGTTTAGCAAACTCTCCCTTGACCCTTGCACATTCAGCAAAAGGCACAAGACTTCACAATCCAAAGTAAAGCTGACAAGTTCCTAATCTGTAGCAAAAAAGAAAGAAAAGAGAATGATTCCTTTCTTTCTTCTCCCAAATCATGATGTTTAAGGATAATTTAATGGCCAGCCTTGTGCAATGTGTGAAGACCACCAATCCCACAAAAGTCCAACTGACAAAAACACTTGCTGGCTCTACAAAAGCCTTCTTATTTATCACCCTGTTTATCTGTCTAACCCCAAACCCCAGGATGCTTCTCAGATTGAGGATTTAGAGACTCCAACCATTGAAAAAGGCATCTTTATATTTTAGAGCTCTTTGATGGTGCATGTGTGGTTGTCTGGAGTGCAGATACTTGGATGGCTCAAATCCCCAGTGTTCTGGTACACTTTGAGATGGTCCAGGAATTTCACATTCCTGATCACCTTCGGTCTTGGTGGTTTATGGCAGATGCATTATGTTCCATCTGGTTTTCATTCCATGCTGATCTTAAAGAATTCATCCTAATTTCTGGTTTCTGGGAAGAAATGGCATATACTAATACATATGTTTCTGGAAAATATCCTTTTTTCTCCTCATCCTATTTGAAAGAGCACAACTGTTCCTAAGGTGAATACGTCACATTTGAGCTGCAGTAGTTCTTGAGTTTCACTTGGCTTGTTTCTGCACCTTCTTCTCTCCAGACATTGTATAACAATGCACTGACACTTTTTATCATATACTTGCATTTTATACCAAAATTGGTTTTCTGGAATGTTTGCAATGCTGGATTCTCACTGTGACAGTGTTTTATCACTCAGGGCAGATGTATGATGTACCCAAGGGAACAATTCTTTCAAGCTAGTCAATCTCAGCACCTTGTTTATGCCAAGCCTGATCTGTTATGCACATCAGTTCATGGAAATCTTGTAGACGTGGCTATAGCTGACAGGCAGCTTGCAGAGGTTAATTTGGGTGCATATAAAGCCAAAACATAAGCCCTGAAATGCATTTCCAAATTGTTTGACAGTCAAAGTTGGCCACAGGACCATCATATGATGCTTTTGTGCTTGTGAACCTACTGTACTCAGGATGCCAACAGCCACAGCACATCTGCAGTGTCTCAAGATGCACATGGGTGCTTATGCAGCACTTCTCTTCTGAAGTGCTTCACTATCCCTTTATAATGAAAAGTTAGCACTCCAAAACAACAGCCATAGAGATGAAGTGTCCTGAACCCACTCCAGAGGTATCCAGATTAGCAGCATAAATCCCCTGCCAGATCTGGTGCCGATGGTGCACATGCTATTCTGTTTTGTCAGACTCCTTATCCCCCCTCCTCCTCAACATAGCCTCAAATCCCTCATGAATATAGCATTAGCTTGACTTCAGACAGAGCCTGCCCTCCTATCTCCCCAACCCTCATGAAAATACTTTCATCCTAGTGATTACAAAGCACCTGGAGAAAGCATCCCAACAACTCACTGTGCTAATCCAGCATTTCATCCCATTTTATTCTTTCCAGCAGAGTGCATATCACTAACTGCAAAACACACGGTGGTGGATGAAGCATTCCTAGTTGACAAAGCTGGATCTTTGTGGGAAGCAACTGCTTGGCAGCTCCCCCAGGCACATGGCATCTCCTTCAGCTGAGCAGCCATCAGCTGATTGCTATGTTCCCCTGCTGGTGGTGACCATCCTTGTGGAAACATAGTGGAGGACACACATCCATACCCTGCCCAAGCTTGCTCTCAAGCTTAAGCTGCTGTGGAAGGTGGTTTTGCACTAGAAGACTAATCTAAAAAACAGGGCTCAGGTATGCATCTTATTTTCTTATGCCAACTCCAAGGGAGAGAGCCCTCAGCAGCGGTGCAGTGGGGAAGGCTGGGACACTGTGTCTCGAGTTAAGGAAGGTTTAACAGCAGGAAGGTGTCAGATAGAGCCCCAAGATTCTCCCTCTTCATTTTATTCAAGCTTTCTGGGTTTGGTACTTGAATACATTAACCAGCTCCACAATAAGCTGTGAGAACTGGACACGTTTTGATGTCAGGCTTGAGGCTCTATAATCATGGTTTGCCCAGAAGACTTTTCACAGCCTTTAAGAATCTCTGAAAGGGGAATTTTAAGAGCAAAAAGGGAGAAAGTGACTCTTAAAACCAAACAAGGCCATTGTGGGAGCTAATAAATCTGAAACCTGAGGCTCAGTGTAAACTCTCCTGTGATCTGGCTACAACAGACAAGCTATATCCTGTTTTTAAAAGCACCAAGCTGAAGTTACTACAGCTCAAGTATTGTTTAAGCATTCTCAACTCCCCCAGCATCACCATAATTGCTATTGATGCTAGCTTGCAAAGATAACAGTAAGGGTCTATTAGGCCAGAGCTGAGCAATTAGGTTGCAATGACTTGATTTGTGTCTACACATGACAACAATCAATCCATTTAATTGCTTCATTGCTTAATAAAAATTAAGATCCTCATCTACATACAGCCAGCATCTTCATTAAAGGAACACTGCAAGATTCATCCATAGTGTGCCACGCTGCCTAGACACAGGCTTTAGTCAAAATATGCTGTTAAATAAGGAGTCAGAGAGGTATTACACGTCTCAAAGAACACATTCAATGCACATTGTAAACAGGACATCACATCACAAAAATTCAAGATCAGGCCAATGCTTTCATAAACATTGGCCAACATACCATCAGTGAAGTCCAAAGCGTACACTGGAAATCTTCGTGCAATGTCATCAGAAATCCCCTTGCCAACATTGAGAAACTCATGCAACTAAAGAAAGGAAGGAAGTGCTGTGTCAGTTGAAAGGCTCATGTATTGTTAAAAAGATTAACCTCCTTATTCAATACTGATAGGAGCAAAACTGGTCATTTTGAATAGGGCATTCAAATCTGATTCTGTAATGATAATAACAATAAACTCATTGCACTTCATCAGAAGTATTGTGAAAGAGAAAAATCCCCCAGACCACCCTGTTTTCCTCCCTTCCTTCCCTTTTTCCCCTCCCATTCATGTCTGCTTTGCAGGTGAGGGAGCTGAAGCACAGTGTGACCCACTGAAACCACTTAGGTCAACAGCAGGATTACACCTCGGGTACCCCAGGGTTAAACATCAAATCAGAGATGCCTTTCCCATCCCTTTAGCAAACATACTTTTCTTTAAATGCCACCACAAAAAAACATCTTCCCCCCCAAATCCATGTTAAGCCTTTGAGAGGGGATCCCCAGCAAGCGCTTCCTTCCTTGGCATTGCCATGGGAAAAGGAGATCTCAAATAGATGTTCAAGGCCAGGCTGGACAGAGTCTTGGGTGACATGGTCTAGGGTGAGGTGCCCATGCCCATGGCAGCGGGTTGGAACTAGATGGGATAGTCCTTTCCAATCCCAATTATTCTATGATTCTAAGAGAATTGTCTAGACCTCAAACTCCACCAAAAGATTGAATAACTTCATATAACCAAGCCATAATTACTACCCATTAAAAGACAGTAGGATCATTGTGAAAAGATTCCAAAAAACCCAGCATCTTCCCTTTATTTCTGGCCTGGGGCCCTGCAAGGTGTGGTGTGATAGTTTATATGATGTGATGCTCACTACAGGCAATAAGGAGCTTTTCAGAAGTATATGGCAGCTGCTATTGACTTATAGCCTCCCAATTCTCACAACTAGATCTTTACAGAAAGCAGATGGAAAGCATCAGAGTAGGCAACACTTGCAAATGAGGCACCTGTCAGGTTTTTTTCCCTGTTATCCTCAACTTAGAGAACACATTATACTCTGAAAATCAAATGCACCTTTATACAGCACTAATTACTCCAGCTGCCTCATCTAAAACATTCCTTGTTTGTTGAAGAACTAGACACAGAAGACTGATTGCCTCTGCTAGGGACTGCAAGGGTGGGAAAAGAAATCACAAATCCAAGATTCACATCATCAGATCATCTCAACACAACATGGCCATCTTCCTTTAGATGGTTTATGTGGAAACTGATAACTACTGCTTTAGAAAGGACTCAACACCACAGTGCTTATTTATCAGCCTACACACATTTATTTTCTCATGGGACTCACCTGCTTTGCAGCTCCTGGAAGATCAGAGCCACAAGTAAAACACAGCAAGGAAACCTCTGCTTTAGAAGGAATACACTGGGCACAGCAAGCAATAAGATTTGGGGTACAAAAGATACCTCAGAGGACCAGCTCCTGTATCAGTCACTACGACATCTCATCTTTCAGCTACTTAAGTCAGTTCTGTTGCATTTTCCAATACACCTGTGTTACTTTAGGACAGTTTCAACTCTAACCTGAACAATCAGGATGAAAAGACAGCACACACCAGCCTAACATCTGCATTTTAAGCATTTCCAAAAAAAGCTATGAGCTTAAAACATATTTGGAGGCGTATTTGGACATCAAAGCCATATGCACTTGAAAAGCAATTTAATTTCTACCCCCTAGAAAGAGATTCCAGAAGGCACGAGTCAGCCAGAGAATCACAATAGCTTTAATGACTAATATGTTTACTCATCTCGCTGCAGTGAGTACATGGAAAACAATGCTCGGGGTATCTCATCTTCTGCAGAAGCCACAGGCTCGCTGCTGGCCTGGGGCTGAGTGTGGGGTGGGGAAGGAAGGGGCACTCATGCACAGTGCCTGTCCACAGGCAGCAGTGAGCGTGCAGAAGGGTAAAGCACTGCCCAGCTTCTCACCCTGCAAGGCACATAGAGGAAGATTTTGAGACAGGGGTGACCCAATGGGTTGTGTTAAAGATCCCTAATTCCTTCATGCATTTATTGCTTGCATGTGCGTAAGTTTAGTCAAGAGTGGGGCATAGGGACATCAAGTTAAACCTCACCTCAGTATTGGGCAAGCTGTTTGTTTTGTACAGCTAATCCTCCTCTTAACTTTCCCCTCTGCTCTATTAACCTCACACTCAACTTGGGTTGCACTAAGGAGATAAAAGACCAAGTTTACTGACCTCTGAAGTTACTGCCCTTTCTGGTTTTACTTTTATGCCCCAACCTATCCACCATACGTCTGGATTGTCCCAGCTCCACTCCAGACATGTTTCAGGCTGGCTTTTGCCTCCTGCCATCTTCTGAGCTTGCACATTGTGAGGTTCCAAAAAACCTTGGGAAGGGCAGAGCTGACACTTCGTTCTTGCCCTTTTTGATCTGCTTCCTCATACACTGCAGTGCTGGGAATTTCTTGGACTGCCATTCTCTGCTTCCTTCTCCATCAGTGGGTCAAGTTTAGCTGACCCAGTGGCTTTCCACCCCATTCATGGTGGCACCTCTCTCATGGCCCTATTGTCTTTCTGATTTAATATCCTGATCCTGTGTGGCCTTATCCAGAAGGCCAAAGCTGGATCCCCCACCAACACCAAGCTCAAGGCTTATTAGGTTTTAGGAACCACAGCTCAGGCACCCAACACAAAATCCTCCCTCAGTCTCCTTATTCTCTTCTGCAAGTCCTTCCAGTGTTTTGCCCATGCTGCTCCTAACACACGAGGGAGAAGAGAGAATAACACACAAGGACAACCTAGACAAAGTTACTGAATTTCCACTTCCATTTTACAAATCCTTCTAAGTCTTTTGCCATAAGTGACCATTGTTTAGGTTAAAGGAAGAGGCCAAGCCAGCACTTGGAATCATGGAATCGACTAGGTTGGAAAAGGCCTTTAAGATCATCAATCCAAACTTCACCCCAGCATTGCCAAGGCAATCTCCAGTCTAAACCTCTCCTGGTGCAGCTTGAGGCCGTTTCCTCTTGTCCCATCCCTTGTTCCTTGGGAGCAGAGACCAGCCCCCTCCTGGCTCCATCCTCCTGTCAGGCAGTTGCAGAGAGCGATCAGGTCCCCCCTGAGCCTTCTCTTCTCCACACTAAACCCCCAGGTCCCTCAGCCCTTCCTCATCACACTTGTGCTCCAGGCCCTGCTCCAGCTCCAGTGCCCTTCTCTGGACCAGCACCTCTCAACAGCAGTTACAAAGCCCAACAGAAAATACCTGCTCCAACACCACGTACCTGTTCTCAGTCCTCCCCTGATGTACTGGGGGGATGCATGACTATTTTACATAGAGCAGGGACACACACTATCCTCCCTCCTGCTGATGCTGAGCAAGTACAGCCCAGCCCTCTCAGCAAATCCACACAGGTATCAAATGGACACAAAATTCACAGCCAGAAAGCATCACAACTGTCAGAGGCTCCTCCATGAGCAAAATCACAATTAGATGCCTCAGTAAACAAGAGGATTTCAGGCTGACTTAATTATGACTGAGTCTGTAGCCTTGCCTAAACAATCCTGCAAGATGAGGCAAAGCAAATTGACTGTGCTGGAAGCACAGCATGGTGCGCAACTGCCATGTCTCCTTCAGCATTTCAGCAGAGGTAAAAATGAGCACTTGCAAAAACCTCACATTCACAGAGCATTTGAGACCTATTTCTCTTCCATCACTTTGGGACCAAAGGTAGAAGGGATGCAGGAGGCAGACTTCTATGCTGCCAAGAGACTTTACCCCTCCTGGTCCCTCCCTAGGGCTCACTTGTAATAATAGAGTGGCTCTGGCTTAGGGTATTTATTTCACTGGGGGTGGTTCACAGGTTGAAATTACACCCCTGGTCTCATATGAGTTTGTGCTCATATTAAATGCTTCCTTTCTAGAAAGCTATTACATAGGGCAGGCAGAGGGGGAGGAGATACTGCTGGAGGTGGCTCTCATAGGAACTGAGGAACACAGGCTATGATCTTAAATCAACTCATTTCTCCAGGCAGATCTTTGCTTGCCAGGAAAAGAAATCCCCAACCCAGCTCTTAAGGCCTATGCTGGCAAGGTGGGATGGCGACAGCCTCTTCCAAGAGAAATGAGAAAGCAGAGTGACTACTACACAGGCTGCATCTCCTGAGAGCTGAAGCATAAAACATTTCAAAAACAACAGTTTACCTAATCCAGACCAAGAATGACCAATGCCAAGAGCAAGAGCTAAAGAAACAAGCGTCACTATCTCAGCACTGGCTCAGAACCATCAGAAGCCTGCCTGGCCAAGGCTGCTTGCCCAGTTAGACAGGTAGGAACCACCACTTCTCAGGGCCAACATCTACATGCTCAGTGTTGCATCCAGCCTTCCTGCTCACCAAACCAGAAAATCCTCTACAGGCATGTTTTAGCAGAAGACAGAGCCAGACACTTCAACTGCTCTAACAAAAACTCCTTTGGAAAAACCAAGTGTAAAAGGGTTAAACCTGCTTTACCTAAATTACACCACAGCAAGTACTCTGAATACTACCACCCTGCAAGACCTAGGTTTAAAGAGGGTTTCAGGGCTTGTTCTGCAACGCAAGAGCAGGTATGGGGTGTAGGAAAGTTCAAAGTGCTACCTATGAGCAAGGGGATTCAGCAGG